TAACTTACAATAAAAAATAATGAGGATATTCTTTGATTTTTTTCTCTTCTTCAAATGAACAAAACAATTTAAACACATAACACAAAGATATAAGTTTCAAATTTAAATTTAACTCTTACTTGCCACACTTTGTGGCGTGACGTGCTTGACACACTGGGGTGGATTGCACCCCAGCACAAAAATTGTTATAACAAATAATCTATTAAATATTTTAACTTCAAAATTTTTTTATAGCTTCTCAAGAACTTACTTTTTAAAGTTATATGAGTGATATGGACAAAAAATAAAATTGAGTACTTACATACATAGACCCGATTTTCTCAGGGTTACATACTTCAAATTAACGAAGTGGGCCTGGGGTGTGTTACACCCCAGTGTGTCAAACAAGGGTTAAATTAGTAAAATAATTTCTTAATGCCAAAAATGGAACTTATCTCTGTTTGAACGTTTTTAAAAACTATCTTAAAAAATATTTGTAAAAACTAGGAATTGGTTCTAAAAACCAAAAAATTAGGAAACAATCATTTTAAAAATGTTTCTAAAAGCATTGTTTTCTGATTAATATACATATGGATACTTTTATATCAATTAGATAAATCGGAATAGTATTTCGGAGACGTATTACCCGTGTCTTGTTTAAGAAATGCACGGAAAAGTTTGCATTTTTCCATTTCAAGACTTAATATTTCAGCATGCCTCTTCTCCTTATCCTTCATTTTGTTACTTGCAATAGTTTTCTTCTGTTGGAGTTCTTTCTCTTTCAGTTCAATTTGTTTCTGTTTTAATTGTAGTATTTCTTCCTTTTTTCTTATCATGTTGTCATATTGTTTCTCTTTAATAGCCTCTCTTTTGATTTTATCTTGCAAATGCTGATGCCACTGTTTTCCGAGTTCAATTTTACTTTTTGCGATGTTTGAATCAGTACCGTGTGTTGCGCGTTTTACCCGTAACTTTTTATCTGTCTTTAATTGCATTGTTGATGTTATGTCTTCAGTCTGCTTGTTTGCTGCTATATCTAACAGTGAGCAGATCTCTTCAAGGACTGCATGCTCTTCATTTTTCATCTTAAAATGAGATTTACACAACTGCTTTTTTTCCTTTTCTCTATCTTCACTTTGTTCGTTAATGGCCGCCACGTTACTTGCTTTATTCTTTGATGTCATCGTAGGAAAACACAATTTCGATGAAACAGTGTAAGCTGTTCCAGCATTGTTTTTGTCTCCGAAAATTTCATCGAGTTGGTCGAACCATTGAAATTCAACAGTACCTCTTCCAGTTTTGCTATTGCTGTCGACACATTCTTTGTACCGTTTTGTTAAGGCGTTCATTTTCCATCTCACTTGTTGTGGTGACATCTGTAATATAAAATAATAAATTATATGTTATTAAAGTTGACTGATGTATACATTTCAAAAAATAAATTCTTTCAAAAACAATTATTATTTTTAAATACATATGCAGGACATTTTAATAAATAATTTTGCAAGGATATTGATATCTATCCGCGACCTCAATTTAATTTATCTTACCTCAATTTTTAAATCTCTTAGACCATCTGCGATAGCTAGCCATATTTTTGTTTTCTTTTTAGGATGATCCAACATGCTCATGTTAGCCTCATACAATGACAGCAATGCCAATGTAGCTTCTGTTGTCCAGACCGCAGCTGTATAGATCGAATACATAACACATACACAATACACATATACATGCTTATTAAATCCGCATCAGCAATTTTCTTAAGACAATCATAATGACGCTTTTCCTTATTTTTCAATGAAATATTATTCACTGCAGGTGAGTACAATTCCTTTTTTCCTTCAAGGAAAACTTCTTTTCCTTCGAAACAGGCATGCTGTTGAACATTGTCCAATGTAGGAATAACATCTTTACAATGTCGACAAAAATATACATCTGCAATAAAAATTAATCCCATAAAATAGATCGGAAGAG